TCTCAGTCATGGTGGTGGGTCCTGTTGTGGACGTGGCTTCTGCAGTCGTTTCGATCTCAGACATAGCAGTGGGTCCTGCTGTGGACGTGGTTTCTGCAGCCGTTTTGCTATCAGACATAGTAGTAGGCTCTGCTGTGGACGTGGCTTCGGCAGTCGTTTCGATCTCAGACATAGCAGTGGGTCCTGCTGTGAATGTGGCTTCTGCAGCCGTTTTGCTATCAGACATAGTAGTAGGCTCTGCTGTGGACGTGGCTTCGGCAGTCGTTTCGATCTCAGACATAGCAGTGGGTCCTGCTTTGGACGGGGCTTCTGCAGTCGTTTCGCTCTCAGTCATGATAGTGGGTCCTGCTGTGGACGTGGCTTCTGCAGTCGTTTCGATCTCAGACATAGCAGTGGGTCCTGCTGTGGACGTGGTTTCTGCAGCCGTTTTGCTATCAGACATAGTAGTAGGCTCTGCTGTGGACGTGGCTTCGGCAGTCGTTTCGATCTCAGACATAGCAGTGGGTCCTGCTGTGGACGGGGCTTCTGCAGTCGTTTCGCTCTCAGTCATGATAGTGGGTCCTGCTGTGGACGTGGCTTCTGCAGTCGTTTCGATCTCAGACATAGCAGTGGGTCCTGCTGTGGATGTGGCTTCTGCAGCCGTTTTGCTATCAGACATAATAGTAGGCTCTGCTGTGGACGTGGCTTCGGCAGTCGTTTCGATCTCAGACATAGCAGTGGGTCGTGCTGTGGACGTGGCTTCTGCAGTCGTTTCGATCTCAGACATAGTAGTAGGCTCTGCTGTGGACGTGGCTTCTGCAGCCGTTTCGATCTCAGACATAGCAGTGGGTCGTGCTGTGGACGTGGCTTCTGCAGTCGTTTCGATCTCAGACATAGTAGTAGGCTCTGCTGTGGACGTGGCTTCTGCAGCCGTTTTGCTAGACATAGTAGTAGGCTCTGCTGTGGACGTGGCTTCTGCAGTCGTTTCGCTCTCAGTCATGGTGGTGGGTCCTGCTGTGGATGGGGCTTCTGCAGTCGTTTCGCTCTCAGTCATGATAGTGGGTCCTGCTGTGGACGTGTCTCCTACGGTCGTGATGGTGCTTCTCGTCTTAGCAGTGAATCTTCCCATGACCGTTTTCTCTGTAGCAGTCGTAGTGCGGTTTTCTGTGGTCAAAGGGTTTGATGGCAAGAATCCCAGAAGATTTAAAAGATACACCTTTACTTTTGCAAAATCTAAATCAAACCAATTGAAAATCATTATGTTGTTACACGGAGGGCATCCATCGCACGGGCGACACTGTTGTGGATGTGCAGTTACAACCGCTAGCGACATCAAGAGCAGAATGAGGACCATGATGACTTTCTTTGCGATGGTATCTGTAAGAATCCAATCTTAGCGCATATAAAGCGCACCAAACAAATGTGAAAACTGGAAGATGATCATTGGGTAAAGACTGCGCACTGTAGGCTCTTTTATATGGCTGCGTCTTATATATATTGTTTTGACTTGCACAAATTTCTAATGTCATTCGTTAGTCAGGCGAAATTTGTTACAAATTCCCGGCATTAGTATGTTGTTGTGATTTGATTTTGCTGCTCGAATCATTTCAAAAACCAGACGTCAGCAACAATCTTTCTCATTAGATTCTTGTGCTTTGTAGGGCTAGGATGCTGCAAGTTGTTCCACCTAAAATTCATTCCATTCCTGTGCAGCTTCATCTCATGTGGCGCCTACAGAAGTATTATGCTTTTTGTACCGGGTCTAAAATAATGAATCTAATAATGGAATTAGACCAACGCTTTGATCATGTCTCTTGTCGAATTAGGCTTTCGAAAATGATAGTCGGTTGTTAAAGTTTGTTATCAATCTATATTTATTCAAATACCCGTTATTGGACATGAAAAAATCGAAACAACAGAATATTTGCTAACACTGGCTTGACGGAAAAGTTGCTCGCACGCCTTAGTAACTCGAAGACGAACTCTCGTCATCATGAATGGCAAACATCAGGGCCGGTAGTAATCTACCCTACCTGGTGGCATCATAGATGCCGGCAAGTTGGCACACATCGCGGAAAGATGCCAACTCCTCCGGCAGCTCGCGGACTGATCTCAGGCAGACCTCCGCAAAACATTCGCATTGCGCGCCCTCGAACTTGCATGCATTGACCTCGAACGCCGGCGCACTAACCGATCGACCACACGCACGCTGTGTGTGGTGGCGAAGCGAACGATAAAGGAATGCTTGGATTTGCCGGGCCGCCGCAAAACATCCGCACCACGCGCGTTTGAACTTGTACGCACCAACTTGGAACTCTGCCGCACTAACCGCTCGACTACACGACACATGGTTTGGACATAGAAAACACCGCTGGGGTATCTTAGAATTTCCGAATCCTGTGCTTGAAGAGGATCGATACCACTAGTGGTATACTTTGGATTTCGAAGTATCCTGTCCAAGACGGCCTCGGTCTTTTTTTCTTGTTTTCATTGCTTATTTCATCAGATTCTTGTATAAATTCTTCTCTTCTTCAGATTCGTCTCTTAAAAACACTATCGCAAACTGCATTAACATGGCCTCAGAGTAATAACAAGTTTATTATTCAGACATGCTTCCTATCATTATGTATGCCGCATCGAGCAGGAGGCACCGAAACATCCGCTACGGGCGACTCCATCCTCTTCGCCTCTTCACCTCTAATCAAGGGCTAATTCTGAGGAAGTTCCGGATGAGAGAAGTTCATTTGCGACGACTGTGCGACCTGCTCAAGCCTTTAATGGCCCATGAGAGCATCGACAATTGGAGCGTGGACGTTGAGAACAAGGTTAGTTGCATGAACATTCTTCAGTACTCTTATTGAAGCAACATAAAGAGATAAGCAGTACATGAGCGCAGTCATGTGGCATTTCTCTTTCGATTGCCTTTTCCACAAAGTCGTTCGTAGAGTCGGAAATAGCCTAGTGGCTAAGCAGTCGGCAGTTCAAGCCAGACATCGAGGGTTCGAATCCCGCTTAGGGTTTCGATTTTGCGTTCACAATAAAGAGAACATGTGGAAGGCCAAATCATAAAAGCAATGATAGGGAGGGTGCAAAGGGGTCTAGAAGTCGTGTTGAAAAGTTAACAACGTTCTCTAGAAAAAACGATTAGCTGATCAACTATTTGCAGGTAATCATCGCCCTACGCTACCTCGCCACGAATGCCCACCAAGACGTCCTGGCAGACACGATTGGTGTCTGCCAAAAGACGGTCTCGAACGCCGTGGAGGATGTGGTGAAGGCGCTGAACAACCCGGCAATAGTGCAGAAGTTCATTCCGTGCCAACTCCACGACGAGCGCTATTGCCGGAGGAAGGCCGATGGCTTCGCACGATTGGGAAGGCTGCCGAACATCGTGGGAGCCATCGACGGCACACTTGTACCCATCCTGAGGCCGGCCAACTCAGGGTGGGAATACTATTGCCGTAAAGGGTTCTGCGCCATCAACGTCCTAGCCGTTGTCGACGCTCACGGTAGATTCATCTACGTAAACAGTAACTATCCAGGTTCTGTTCATGATGCTACCGTGTACAGATATAGCCGCCTACATGATGCATTCGCAGAAGGAGCTGTTCCGGAGGGTTATTGCCTGATCGGGGATTCAGGATTCTCAAATAGTAATGAGATCCTCACCCCGTACAGGAATCCTCAAGACCGGGCACAACGCCGATTTAACAGGACCCACAAAAAGATGAGGGTTGTTGTCGAGTGTGTGTTCGGGAAATGGAAGGGCTGCTTCAGGATCTTGCAAACAAAAATGCGCTTGCATCCAGAAAAGGCGGCAAAAATCATAATGGCTTGTGCTGTCCTTCACAACATTATGCTCTCGATGAGATGTCGTCCCATGCGACATCTTGGTAGGAGGATTGCGCACATACCGCATCCCATAAATGGGGTGGCGAATATTAGGGAGGAACTAACCCGTTTACTGATTTAGGTTGTTGTTGTTGTTGTTGTTGTTGTTGTTGTTGTTGTTGTTAATCTTGTTCTTGTTGCTAATTATTCTGTAATTAAAATGCAATAAATCGTAACAATTTGAAAGTACTTGTGTACAAATTGCAGTAGACAAAACAGGGATAAATTCGTGTCAGGTGCATGCCAGCTTCGTGCCAGCTCCAGCGTTCTGTCTCTTGCGTTTGGGGACAGTGCCAGCTCCGTGCCAGCTTCGTGCCAGCTTCGTGCCAGCTCCGGCGTTCTGTCTCTTGCGTTTGGGGACAGTGCCAGCTCCGTGCCAGCTTCGTGCCAGCTTCGTGCCAGCTCCGGCGTTCTGTCTCTTGCGTTTGGGGACAGTGCCAGGTCCGTGCCAGCTTCGTGCCAGCTTCGTGCCAGCTCTTTAGAGGGCCCGTTTGCTAATTTCGACTATTGTGGGTGTTTACACAGTTCCTGGTATATTAGGTTATTAGGGAATGTTTCGTTTTTTCCGCTTGGTGGTGTCAGCGGCCTATCAAAGGAGAGTGGAAAAAGACCGACAGGGGAGTTTTCTAGTTTCTGATGATCCCATCGAAATTGCGAAAACGCGATATTAGACGGGGGGCGTTGCTACCTTATATTCGGGCATCTCAGTCCTTCAAAGCTAACCGGATATATCCTCGCATAAAAATTATCAGCAGGCCTTGAAAATACACATAAGCCCCTTATAAGCCACTTTCGCAATGAAGTTTATTCTGTGGGAGAAACTTGAACGTGGAAGAAGCTGTGCTTGTTCAAAGCCGATGATGCGAAAACGAAAAAACTTTCCATATGACCTAGTGATATAAGTGTATGTGTGGTACAAATTAGCAGTTTTGTCAATTTATTTTGTATGTATCTTATCATATCATCAATGCAAGTAATAAAAATATTAACAAAACAAAACATGATATTCATCTCGTATCAAGCGGCCACTGCCTCTAAAAGTACTTTCCCGGGTAAGATTACAGAGAAGACCAGAGAAGACAAACCTTCAATTTTTGCGCCCTCCTCCCTCCCAAATCCTCCTCCCTCCTCAGTGGTGGCGAGCTCTTGGCAGACTCCTTAGCCACGCCGATGAAATTCCCAAAAGTGAATCGTTAACAGTATGAAAAAAAAACCGGGAAAGGACTGCTCACTGGAGTCTAGAATCCCAGCGTTGACTCCACGCAGTGTTCAGCGACAGATTCATCGATGTTGGTGTATCCGTTAGTCCGTCACCTTAATAAGAAAAGAAAAAAGTTTGCACAAAAGAAACCAGAGAAAGTACAAAAGATGTGATAACATCGTTCAAAATCCCTAAAGTTCAAAGACCACCCGCTACAAAACTCACCGTTTCCATTAATCCTCCATTTGGCTTCAGTATGCGATCCCACGTCTATAGTGTACAAATAGCCATCCCGGTCTACATGGATTCCATGTGGCATATAGAATCTGCAAATCACGCCATTTCCTCTTTTCTTTCCGCGCGCCTGTCCTCGAGTGTGTCCCTCATCAAAGAAATCAGTCCACGTACAAACGCGCTATTTGATCAGATTTTGAAAGCGATCTAAAAGGATGAAAAATGAGCTCAGGATCCATCTGCAAGGCCATTGTTTAACCTCGCAGATACCAGACCGGCCAAAAAAAGTTATAAATATTTGTTCAGCTATTTATTCTATCAAAGACCAAGAAAGAAAAGAGAAGGGAGACCCACCCCATAGACACTGCAACTTTTTTGTCGTGTGAGTCTAAACGGCACGTTAACGCCATCAGATCTCCTTTTTTGATCACTGGATTGTGGGTGATAGTCTCGAACAACTGAAACAAACATTGGGTTTTGTGTTCGTTAGCACTGAAGAGAGAGTTCTTGACAGTCTATCGGAATAGTGGGATAGTCTACATTATACGAGCAGTGGCCAATCTCACATTTGGCTCAGCACTTTTGATGCTTGCTCGACGATTGACATTGACTTGACGTTGTCATAGATTCTCTGGCTGTAGGGGAAGGATGCATTGTTATATCATTGTAAGATTGCAGGGGATGTAATCCTTTTCCCTTTGCAGTTCTTCCGGAGACGTTTTTATCTCCTCGCGCTGGAAACGCTTCGCCACGCACAGGCAGGGTTGTAGCGATTTCATCGTCGCGATTCATCGCGACAAGACAGGTTTTACGACTTCATCGCATGCCGATCTTCTACCATTTCGATTGCCATAGTCTTCCACCACTACTATTCATGACTAACTATCGCAACCGAAATACAAGAAGATCAGCATGCGATCAAGTTGCAACACTTGTCTTGTAGTGATGAATCGCGACGATGAAATCGCTACAACCCTGCCCGAGGCTAACGCTACTTCAATATTCGTGGTCATAAGCCACACTCAAACCCCAGGAAAGTTCAGACCGGTGATGAAGTCAAATGGCACCATAATGTTTATAATGACGAGTTCTAGAGTTATGGCAGGTATGCGATAATGGACGATAATGATCGACTATGAACCATGTATAGGGAGTCATTTCGGAAAATGAGTAAACCAATTTACTTAGAGGAAAAGTAAGTGCCTTGTAGAAGCTCTATCTGCCATATCTCCGAAACTCCGCTTTATAATATACAGGGTGGGGCAAAAGTCTGGGAGCCTAGTACCTTTTCAGATAAAATCAGAAGGAAAGTGCCTAAGAACAAAAAATTTGGTGCACACATAAATCGAACCTTTACTAATACAGCGCTGCTTTCAAATTTTGAGATTGCCTCTTCTGGCTTCAAAGCAGCCCTTTGAAATCTTGGCGAGTCCGACTGTCGTGGCACGCAGACAGTGTTGATGAAATTCGTCCCACGCCTTTACGATGACTGTTTATTTCACCAGGCAAATATGCGGTGTGATAGAGCAAGCTTTTAGCTACAACGCACTGCGAAGAAATTTTTTTTTCGCAGTGTTTAGGAAAAAATTTTAGAATTTTAAATTAAAGGCAAGTGTACTCGTATACTGAAAATCTGGATGCGATTGCGCGAACGGGAGCGAAGAATCGTAATCTGAAAAGTATTGAAATTGCTTGATTGATTGAACACCAGTAACGCTTGCATAGAAGACTCATGGAAAGAATATAGCCTAGAATTCAGTGCCTGCTGTGCCCCTATAGCTTTAAAATTTATTCTAAAGAAACATGGCCGCTGGCACGAGCTGGTATTCGCAAAATTTTCAATTTGCGTTTTTAAAAGAATAGTATCTGAGAAACGCAATGGCTAAGAATTGATAGCGCGAAGCCTCCTCTACGTTATACGCATCGAAGTGCTTTAGAATATCCACTGTATCGTTAGTTACGAGATAAGTTGTGAAGACCAAAAATTTCGATTTTCTCGTTTTGCAGAGCACTTGTTTGATAAACTCAACTCCTACAAAAACATATAGCAAGCATTTTCAGCCAGCCAAAGTGTGTTTTGTAGAGGATGATCGCAGCAATATGTGGCACAAATTTGGAGTCAAAATCATCAGTAGTTTCTTGATTTACAGCACTGCAAAGTAGGCTCCCAGACTTTTGCCCCACCCTGTAATGGTATAGTGCAATGGTCTAATGTCTATTCCAAAATTGAAATGACGCCAACAGAAAATCTCCTTCGATACCATGATAGGTTAGAATTGGAAAAAAAGGACAACCCACATACTGACAAAAGGTGGGTCTACGAAAAACACACAAAAAAGCAGAAATTCAAAAATCTCGTAAGATTGATGAAATTTCCTAAAAATCTCACCTTTTCCTCTTTTGTTGCTTTTAGTGACGTCAACAGCGCGTCTCTGTTCGCTTCGTTTGCTTGCGATTGCTTGATTACTTTGGTTAGAATGGTATTTTTTGAATTGTACCCAGCTAAAAGTTAAGAACCCAAAATATCATCAGCGGAGCAAAATAACTGAAAGAAAATATCTCATACCGCATTTTCCTTCCTTTTCCTAGCATCTTCTTCGCTGCGCAGTGCGGTTTTGGGCATTTTTTCACGACGTATCTGAAAATGGTGAGAATGCTTTATGTAGCGACAACACATTTGAGCCGAAAAAAAGTAAATCAAGTAGAAATAAAGATATACATGGCATACGAATCTTACACTGAAATGGGTACCTCTTCTTGGCCATCCTCTATAGCTTTACGGCCATCATCATATTCGCCGCAAGTTTTCTCAAACACCTTCGAAACTGTCTGAGTCATCAGATAGCACAGCAATCAAGCATAGGGGATACAATCTGGGGATTTCACAAATAAAACTTACTTTGTTAGCATAGCCAGCAATGGCAGAGTATATACTCCGGGTAAATTCTCGGAATAGGATTTATGAGAACACACATTGTAGAATTCAAGTCGCCATCTCCCAAATCGGTAATGAAACAGCGCCTGTAAGATACATGAAGCATACTGCTTGTAAACACAACACAACACACGCCACCAAAAGGTTGCGCGTAGTGAACCTAGACGTTATTACTTTCTTTGGTATGAGCAAACAGAGAGGAAGCATGTTTTGTAAATTATCTTAAGATAATCTCTGACTAACAATGCGCAGACTGGAAGGCTTTGGCAGCAACATAAACCAACACAAAAACAAAAAAGGAAAAACTCAAAAACAAACCCGCTCCAAAGCTTCCCAGATGTCAAACTCTCCTCCAAAGATGGTCAAGAATGTGTCGAAACATTGATAAAAGAAAAGCAAGCGTTTTCCCTGATCCTGTCTTTGCGATACCAATTAGATCAGGTCCGGCCATAATGCAAGGAATTGCTTGTGCTTGGATCGGCGGAGGTTTAGCGAAGTTGTGCCTAAAATCATAACATTCTTTCTCCAGCAAAAAATAAGAGATTAAAAAAGAAAGACAGATACATACTTCTTCAGCTGCTGCAATATCTTAAATTCGACACCGCACTGCGCCCACGTCTTTATTGGTTTAGGACATTTGTTTCCTTTAACTTCGATACCGCACTGCGACGAGTACAGGCGAGTTCCGGCGCGGTTCGAAACCTGCCTGATATTGATCTCGACGTTTTAGAGCTTTTTACGGGTAATATACGAATGATGAAAAGCAAGGGAAATAAGTGAACATTAGAAGACTTAATGTTGAGAAAAAAAGACGGAGCAACACAACAACAATGTATTTACCTGCAACAATCGGTAGTTTGCCACAGACTATGTATCCGAATCAGATACATAATCAGTCGTTCATTGGACTGTAATCTCCAAGTGAACCACTAATCCGGAAAAGGCCCCAGCGGAAGATGGGGAGGGGCTCCTTGGGTGGCCCGAGCCCCAAAGGGCCACCTGCAATAAACAAATCAGTGATAAAGGCGATAAACACATTGCCAATGCAACGGAAACGGCGAAAGCTAACAAGAGGAAAATACGAGTCTAACAATGATAACGAGGCAGATGCACGGCGTTGTCCGCAACTGTCCATAACGCAATTTCACAGACCCCGGCGGCAAAGGTGCCACCACCTCGACGTGGTAGGGGCACGTCGAGATGCCGGCAGGTCCCTCTCTCAAAAGAGCACGCTATTTCCCGTGCTCTCTGACCTGCCGGCAGCTGCCATCTCGCGGATTCCGCCAACTTGCCGGCAGGTTGCCGGCAACTGACATCGCGAAGTTGCCGGCAACTCCTCCTGGAATTCCAGATATCTTACTAGAGGAGGAGTTATGGAGCCGCAGATTTTTATGAAGTCTTCTAATAGGGACTCCACAACTTTGGCGAGGCGGAGCTGCACTAGCGTGCCTTGCGTTGCGGTTGCCCTGTGCTGAGGCATGCCTGATCCATCGATCTTTGGTGAAGATCACGATTCCGCCTCGCCAAAGTTGGGGAGTCGACAATACAGAGTCGAGGCGGCAACTTTATCGAGAAAATTTTTTGAAAAAAGGCCTGGGACGGCCTAAATTTCGATTCTTAATTTCTGGCAACCTCGCGGAAAGGTGGCAGCGAGCTGCCAACCAGACCTGCCGCCAGGTCGGGGGGATTACTACCGGCCCAGCTTTTGCATTTTATTGATACACCAGTGGCATATCAGTCTCCATCCGCCCCTGTCAAAAATAAAGATTCCATCCCTTTCCCTATGCAATCTTTCTGTGTGCCCACTCCTACATGCTATTCCCCCATCCACATTTTGTCGAAATCAACGTGCCTATTTACCCCCTGTCACAGGTGCGATAAGGTGAGAATGACTCCTCCAGGGTGAAGGAGGTCACAGTGGTCGCAGCCCCTTCAGGGTGAAGGGTATTTCACTTGGTAGAGAAGTTATAAAATGTCGACGGGGGCGGGGGAGCCATGGTGTTTTCTCATCATTTTTCCTAGTCAAAGTTCATAATTTACTCCTTACCATCACTGGTTATCTTTTTTCTGAAATGTGAACCGATGTGCTGCTGGATTAGCATACAATTATATTTCTGACCAGCACCTTATATTTTTTTAACATTTCCTTTTCTTTTTTTACATCACTTTGCTTGTTTTTAGAATTACCATAGAAGATGTGCATGCGAGAACATTTGTTTCGGAAAGAGACAATTTTTGAACATTTACGGATATTTTTAAAAGAAGAAAGTCGTAATTTTTGTAGATGAACAGCAACGTCAGCAAGGGAAATGTTTTCAAAACCATCTTGTCTTCCGCTTTTAGAGACTATATAGTTTGTCAGGAATCTGTTGATGCATGGTGAAGAGTGTGGGTAATGGCTTCCGAATATTTACGAGTTTTTAGGATAGAAAAATCGTAACTTCTGAAGATGAACATCTTGTACGCCATGGTGATTATTTTGGAATCGCCTTGTCCTCCGCTTTCAGAGAATATGTATTTTGCCTGGAGGCCGTAAAAAAAGTGCCTGGGTGAAGGGTGTCCTAGTGATTTTTAGGAATTTTCGAGTTTTCAACACAAAAAAATTCATAACTTTTGTAGATGAACATCTTTTACGCCGTGATAGTCACCATTGGAACCACCTCGTCCTCCGCTTTCAGAAGATATATGCTTTGCCTGAGGTCCGTTATAAAAAGTGCCGGGTGAAGGGTGGGTGAGACTTTTATAGTGGGGGTGCTCAAGTAGACGTCTTTTTACAATGGTAAAAAAGCATGTACTTGAGCACTCCCATTATAAAAGTCTCACCCACCCTTCACCCAACATTTTTCATAATGGATTCCAGGCAAAGCAGATATTTTCTGAAAGCGGAGGACGAGACGGTTCCAAAGGTGACTATCACGGCGTCCAAGATGTTCATCTACAAAAGTTATGAATTTTTTTAGGTTAAAAACTCGAAAATCTCCAGAAATCACTAGGACACCTTTCACCCAAGAACTTTTTTAATAGATTCCAGGCAAAGTATATATTTTCTGAAAGCGAAGGACGAGATGGTTCCAATAATGACCATCACGGCGTACAAGATGTTCATCTACAAAATTTATCAATTTTTTTACGTTAAAAACTCGAAAATATCTAAAAATCACTAAGCAACCCTTCACCGCACTTTCTTGTATGGATCTCAGATATGCTATATATTTTCTGAAAGCGGAGGACGATACGGTTCCAACGGTGACCATCTCGCCGTAAAAGATATTCATCTACAAAAGTTATAAATTTTTTTTATGTTGAAAACCCAAAATGTCCAGAAATCACTGCTCACACCCGTCACCTAGCACTTTTTTCAACAGACTCCTCCATTCCTGTACATATACAGTTTACGTACTCGTAATTCACGTAACAATTCACGTAAATATCTCCTTTGCTTAACCTTACCTCACTGTTGATTTTTTTCTCGGCTTTTGGTGAAGGGTCACCTTGGTCCCGGCTCAGGGGTGAAGAGGGGGTGAGAAAATTCTCACACCATCGCACCTATGCCCCCTGTGCCGACTCCCAGCCCGTAGCTCAAACTTTGCAAAAGAAAAATAGTGGATAATTCCAAAAAAATAATGTTCTACGTGTAATCAGCATGCTCAGTTACCTCCTATACCAACTCCCAGCCCCCGCAGCTCAAATTATGCAAAAAATTGATTAGAATTGACAATCGATATCGCTCGATGGCAAAAAGAGAAGTAGCCTACTACACGCGCCCCGCCCTGAAGTGTGTGCGTGGCAAGTTTGATCGGGATTGGCCCAGAAACAAAAATTTCTAATTGGCTTACATAAGTACACACAAGCAGATGTTCAGCTTTGTATATAATCAGGGCTCGGCACAGGTGGCTTACAAGCAAGCTGGATATCGTTTTTGGGACGAAAAGCAAAGGGGTTTCGTTTTTGTGACCGAAGAGACACGCAAAATTGGCGATTTGGCGACGTTTTTTTTAGTCGACGTTTCGTTTTTTGTGGGATTTTCGGGAATTTTTCAGGTTTTTAGAAGAAATTTGGTTCAGGGTCAAAGGGGACTTCGTAAAAATTCCCAAAAGTCAAGGGGGACTTCGTTTTTTCCATTTTCATCTAGCCACCTCGTGCCGAGCCCTGTATATAATGTAGAAAGGTCGAAGTTTGTGCCTTTTTCCCATACAATCCATGCTAACCAGAACGTGTTTTTGAAGGCACTTCAAGAACATAATGATTGGAAAGGGAGTGAAATTTGTATGTGGATAATTTGTAAACTTTAGTTTACCATCATTTCAAGATATATGCGGATTAGCTCGAAAAATCGCCCAAACTTTCGGACCGAACCTAATGTAGAGTGTCCCAAAAGTGTGCACACTGTCTTCGGTAAATTCTCTCTTCCCTCTACTCCGACAATCTCATGGTCTCTTTAGTTACCATTCTGGATTCAAAATTTTATAGTAAAGATTAAGGGGAAAGTTTTCACGCATGTTAATTTCATTGCACAACTTTATACGAATCAGAGCTTCTCAAATGCTGTAATCACAGTTTGAGAAATATCGAAATACAATTGTCGCTGTATACCGTCGATTGATACAGTGCTGGACATAATTATAGGGACACTCTAAAAATCGTCGTAATTTTCGTTCTTGTCAGTGAATCTGTCTGAAACTTTGCTGTATGGTGCGCATGTAAGCCTACCATAAATCCTCAGAACGACTTCTAATCCCGTTGATTTCGAACGGAGAAAAAGGGAAAAATTCGAAATGGCCTGTTTTGCAAGCTGGACATAATTATAAGGACACCTGGCCTTTTTAAGCATTATCGCATTCCTTGACTCCCAAATTTTTTTGTAGAGTTACATCCCAGAATATGAAACTTTTGCAGCACCTAGGACCTCTCATGCTACTCAAGGAAAGATGATCCTTGCATTTTTCGTTTCCAAAGGCATCAGAAGTCAAACTGCTTTAGTAAACAACTGGTTTGAAGAGTTTTCAAGCCCTTGTTCATTTCAAATGATAATCATAGAGTCTACTGATCCTTCTGGATAGATGAGGTGAAGAGCGCTTTCGTAAACTCTGCGTAATCGCTGATTTTGACGGACAGACTCCAACCTCAACATAGGATTGTCGCGCTTTTAAACCACAAAACTCGCTTTCCAATGTTCGTGAAATGAAGGACTCGATTTATTATATTGTCTACATGGAGACGCAGCTTTTGCAACAACTTTCAGATTTTTTCTAGTGCTGCAGTTAGCATTTAGATTTGAAATACTTTCCACGAAATTTCTCTGCGAGCAGTAGATTCAACACAATCACAAATCTCACTATATCCTTCTCTGCTTCATGTCGCATTTTACGCGGTAGGTGAGATTAGTTAAGATCAGGGCTCGGCACGAGGTGGCTAGTTGAAAATGCAAAAAACGAAGTCCCCCTTGACTTCTGCGAATTTTTACGAAGTCCCCTTTGACCCTAGACCAGGGCTCGCACGAGGTGGCGTCCCGAAATTGCAAAAAATCAAGTCCCTTTGACTTCAGTGAAATTACGACATCCGCCACGAGATATTCGAAAAGAAAATACACGAAAAGGGACGGAACAAAGCAACAGCAGAAAAAAAAGCAAAAAAGAACCATCGAACACACGCGATGATATTCATAGTCTCCGGATTGGCGGCATGATGTATCCATCGTGCAGCAATACGCGCTTAGAGCAGCCTTTCCGCCGCCATTCAAAATATTCGAAGGGCTATAACTAAGCGGGGAGAAGGGGGTTTGAGGCGGTTTAGAAACCAATTTGTAGGGTTTGGGATGTGGATGAAAAGTATGTAAAGAAAGCAGAAAAATTATGTGAGGGAGGAAAAATTTATGACTTTTTCTTTCCTAAGCCACCTCAGGTGGCTATCCAGGTGGCTTGAAAGCCACCTAACTCCGAAAAAAGTTGAGCACGCCTTTAGTTCACATAATTTTTTCATAATTTTTCATACTTAGTCCTAACTCCCCATTGCCCATCTACACACCTATTTTGGTGTCATTTCATCTTCACTTCGCTGTAAACAAATCCTTTGTTTATTTGCT